GTATGCATGTTCACGTCCAAATGTGCACACATACCGCTGGCCCCGGAGACTGATGGAATTAAGAGTGTTATGGCGTACGTACACCACACAACGCGGCCAGCACCCTCTTGTGATTACTCGCATTCCGGCCACGATCCGCCATCGCTGCGCGTTCACACAGCATCCATATCAGTGCATCAGAGGATCACCAAAACTCCAGACCGCGTACACTCTGTGTTTGTGCTCCTTAACCCTGTCATGTTTTACAGTGGTCTCCCTCATCCCGCCTTCTACGCGGGGACTCAGCAAACGCACGCAAAGGTACCGCGAGCCTCACACGGAAAACGTGTTATTATCACCGCGTGTAGCTGCCCGCGCCGCGCGGCCACAGTTCATGGGAACCGGCTGTCGAGGACACAGCCCACACTTAAACAGGCGTCTGACGGCGCAAGCAAAACCAACGCCCGCCAGACACGGCCTCCCCGCTGGTGGTACCCCCCGCAGGGTGTGCACCTAGAGGGCACCAGGTACCTTGAACGTGCGCGGCACAGTCGACTGGTGGCGGCCGCTCCACATCTCCTGCACGAGGCTGCCGAAGGCACGCGCGATCTCGCCGCGCATGCCCAGCGGGTTGTCGGTGTTGAGCTCGGCCAGGTGTCGGTTCTTCCGGTTGAAGTAGAGCGACAGCGGCGGCGTGTTGGACAGGCACTGCAGCACCGAGCTCATGAAGCACGTGTTGCCCAGGTTGGAGAGGCCGCACAGCCCGGCTTGTGGCCGCCGCCCGACGGCGAGGCCGAGCCGTAGCCGTATCGAGTCATCCTGCCGCGCCACAGGTGGCCAGTCCAACACGAATCCCGCGCATAATAGGCGCCGTTGTAGTGACGATCCGGGCTTAGGGGCGGCGCTGACGGGCACTGGGCCATGGGTCGCCCCACGTTACCAGGCCGTCATAAACCTCGTTAAACCTCACCACACCATCATACTGCCTACATCACGGCGAATGGCAAGACAAGACAAGATACATCATGAACAGGCCAACAGGGATGCGTGGGCGCGCCCACAAGTAAATACAACCACAGACGCGGAGGCGGCGTTACACACACGCGCGCGTCCGGGCCGAACCGTGCCCTACAAGCCACGCAGAACGCTCGACGCACAACTAAATAGAGCATAACGCGGCCAGGGCGACGCAGTGAGACGCCCAACTAGCGGCATCACGCGGCCAAGGCGACGCAGTGAGGCGCCCAACCAGCGGCATCACGCGGCCAGGGCGACGCAGCGAGGCGCCCAACTAGCGGCATAACGCGGCCAGGACGACGGAGTGAGACGCCCAACTAGCAGCGTCGGCCCTGCTGGCCAGCCCCGCTCCCTGCTCACATGGAAGACGAGGTGGACCTGGTGTCCATGGAGCCGTTGGAGAGCGAGCTGAGCGCGCCGGAGGAGCTGCCAACCAGAGGCGGTCGCGTCACGTCACGGAGCGCGGGCGCACCACCCATCCCCATCCCTGAACCACGTCAACAGGTGCATCAACCCCTTCCCTCCCCCACCCCCCCTCTTCCTCCTCGAGACACGTCAATCTCACCCGCATGAGCCACTGAGCCACGATCCGTGCGGTCCAGCGTCCAGATGGAGCTCAATGCTGAGCATACCGTGCACTCGACGCATTTCACAGATGACTCCTGGACGCCACAGTGACAAGCACAGTCAGACTGTGCTCCTCGCACGAGTCGCCTTCCGATACAGCCACGTGGCCGGCGCGCCATCGGCGGCCCACTGACCTAGGTCGAGGTCGCGGCCAGGTGCCGTCCTCGTTCTGCACCTCCAGCACGATGATCTGGCCGACATAGAGGCCGGCGCTGCTGATGGTGGCCTGCCGGTCGGCCAGCTGCTCGTACGTGTTGGTCGTGTAGCGATTCCAGACGCGCGACTCGCGCCCGGTTGGCGCGTCGAACAGCTCGCGCATCGTCCGCTCCAGGTCACCTGGCGACCCGGCGCTGGATGGGTCCGGGGAGACACGCACACGGCCGGCCACGCCAGCGCACGAGCCCCGCCCGCTCGCTCGCTCTCCATGTCAGCACCATGTCTGGTTCTCCATTTCAGCACTAATCCTCCATTTCAGCGCCATGTCTAGTTCTCCATTTAATCACTTATCCTCCATTTCAGCGTCATGCCCATTTTACCACTAACATTACAGCACTGTCAAGCACTGATTTTGTATGGCAGGCCTTTGGTCTATCTGCACTTGACGTCAGCGGGGTGTGACGACTTTTGAGACCAACACGATAACCGGCGACTCAGTCCTCGTCGATACAGCGTGACGAGTGGAATACAACTATCGGTGCAGATATGGATCAGGTTCCGTGAAGGAGACGACGCAGCCATCGCCACAGCACCAGGACCTTCGAGAGTGCGCACGACAAGCAATGATATGGACTTGGCATGCGTCAGCGTACATTGCGACCATTGGGTGGCGATACACAAGCCAAAGCATTTCTTGAACTCAAGGATGTGCGGAACATGGTATGAGTGCACCATATCAACTACTAACTTCCGGCCCTCTAACCTAAAACACAATGCTATCCATAACTGACGACCATGGCTAAGCGTCATAACCCAGCAGTGCACAAACACCGCCTACTGCGTGGATGGAGGTATTGAATCTCATGCACGCTTTTGTTTTACGGTACCCCACAAGCGCGATTTTAAGCTCATGAAGTATTTTTTTAACATTGGGCAAGATACTTGTAGACGCATCCAAACTTACCAATAGTGTCTTCTTTACTAAATGCCTTCGTTATCTGATGGTCCAAGTTAGAGTTCTCGCATAGCTTCAACTCCAAAAGGTACACTTCCACTTTAGTTTGCTTCATAAAAACACCACTCTCGATGACCTGCGTAAACAAAGTAGCTTTGTCAGTAGCCAAATACCACAACAAAACGAAACAAAACATGATACCGTTATAACATCACACTAGATGCCTGCGTGCGTGCCGTGTGGGAGGGATGCCACTCCGGCACGGGTAACGCCCTTCAATGCAACGGGTATTCCTCGACGACAGAAGGTCCCACGTCATCGCCCTGAACCCATCATGGTGCCATCCCCTGCCCCGGGACATTTCCGAGCGGGGGAGCGGCCTGCTGACCCAAGCAAGGATTGACCTCCCTGGGGGACCGTCCCATACACGCGGCCCGGGGGGGGGGGGAGCTGACCTTGCGAGCGATGGGCCGCTGGCCGGCGGCGAGAGTGTACCACTGCTGCAGACGGTTCCAGGCCTCCTCCGGCAGCAGCTCGTAGTCGACTGAGTCCAGCATCTGGTCGTTGATGTCACCGCTGTCGTCCTCTGTAGTGCACGCGCCCAGCACTGTTACGAGCCCAAGGAACTGCTGCTGGCCCGGGCTAATGCGCGCCGGGGGTACGCTAACCCCTGTCAGCTGCTATACGCTACCCAGGAGCTGCAACAGGCCTGCCATGGGCTGTTAAGTACTGATGGATCACGCGCGTCCCGGATGCCATTGTGGGACAAGTGGATGTTATGATCTGGGAGCTGGTGCAGGATGGCACATGGTTACAGATGGATCACTTACGGACCGTGGTTGTGGAGACCCGCGCGGCTGCTGGGGTGGTCAGAATGACACCTGAGATGGCACCAGTAAGGGGGAGAGACTGCATTATGACAGAGGGAGTGCACCTTCATGACCATGGCTCTGGATGCTGACATCAGAGCCACAGACGCATGTTCTGCGCACATGAAGATGAGCACCGAACACACGGCATGTGAGCAGGCAGTGTCACCCATACCTTTCATAAGAGGAGAATTGTCAATGGGGCCAGGGAATGCCGAAGGCTGGCCCATCAGTGCCGTATCCCTTTCTTCATATCCCACATAGCGCTTCCACTGCTTGAACCACACAGTATCAATCAGGTACCTGCAACACATAAAGAAAAAGGTATTAGTGGCAAAGCATACAAATCATACTCAACCTGACTGCAAGAATGTTGACAGCAAACAAATACTGTCATTCTGCCCACATCGGGAATCAGAATAAAACAGGGAATGCAGAAGAATGTGACAAACCTCCAGCGCGAAATAAGTCACCCACGCTATCAGCCTACAACTATACGTGTGAGGTGGCTTTTTTAGGGTACACAATACTTACAACAATAAAAACATCTACCTGACCGAAAATTGTATTATTTTACACCTCGCATAAAATAATTACGATCTCAGCTTGTCGGTGTTTGCCAACAGGACAATACTGGCACGATGTCAGACGGCCGCGACATGCATCCCCGACCATTGATTGGCAGTCAAACAGAAGAGAAAAAGGTTAAACTTTGGCATGTGTTACACACCAATGGGACAACGGTCGGCTACATGGGTCTTCAGGTATGGGGTTGATGTCAGGCTTCTGGCTTCGAAGCCGAATCCAAAGCCTAGATGGGACACGAGGCCAAAGTCGCAACCGGCGGTTTCAAAGTACGAACAGCGAAAAACAAGTTGTAGTCTATTGCTTCATATTTGGAAATCATGAAGTCGTGAATCCAAAGTCAGTGGTCAGTGGCCGGTAGCTTCGAACTATGCGCACGCGAATCCGAAGCCAAAGGCAGCAGCTTCGAAATTGGAAAACGCCTATCTGAAGCCGAACCCATCAGCTAAGAGAAGTCACTCGGCAAAGCCAAAGCCAAATTAGAGTACGGTGTTGATGCGCAAGACCAAAAACATTTGTGTTCCTCCTAAAACTGTGCGGACAACAAACTGATCATCATGGGTGTGTGCAATGTCTTGAGACAATGGCAATGCATCATGGATGGAAGATTATTCGGACTGTCATTCCTCATCTAGCGTGAACACATGCCGTTCAGTGAGGTTTCTGCCCGTCATCAGGTGTTAGTTGGTCCAAGAATGAGCAGTTTGTTTCTGGGTTTCAGCCACGAATGCGTCGCGGCCTAAAAACAAACTGGGGTTCTTTGTGATGACCGGACAGGCAGGAATCTTTATGTGAAGTAAAAGCTAATGCAGTGAAAAATCACCATGAACAAACCGAAGCCAGTTCAAGACTGCCGTAAGGCCGACAAGGAGTAATAATTTGACAATTGTTCAAAGCTGACGCCAGTTGCAGAAATTCCATAAGGCCACAAGCCATCTGTTTGTGACGGCACAAAGTATAAACCGAAGCCAGTCGCGGAAGATGGCTCCAGTCTAAAGCCCAACCCGAAGCTGCTGATGGCTCCAGTCGTGAAGAAAAACATTCGTGAAATAGCCAAGGCCGGCTTCGTTCCCATGCGCGAACTCAATTTGGTGGGGGGACGATAACTATACATGCCAACAGGTAGCAATGAGTTAGGGGGAGGGAGATAGCGCGTAGTTTTATACACTAGCTAGCACAACGGGTTAGGAACGAAGCTTGGAAAGCTGGGTGCGGACCGATGAAAAGAGACGCAATGGGTTAGTAACAGCGAGTTCACAGGGGATATGGTGTAGTTTTACATATCACTGTCAGTGTTGGGTTCGAGGGGAACTAGGTGAATATGTGGGTCCAGGAGGCATATGAGAACGGAAAATAGCATAGGAGGAATCGGGAACAGGGGAAGGAATAGGGGTAGGGGTATAAGTGGGGGCATGAGCATGGATAGGGGTATGTATGGGAATAAGGGGTTTGGGTATGGGTAGGGTACAGGTATTTGAAGGATCAAGGATAACAGCAGGGGCAGGAGTATGAGTATAAGGATGAGTATGGGTGTGCGGGTGTGTGGGTGTGTGGGTAGGGGTAGGGGTAATGGTACGGGTAGAGGCAGAAGTAGGGCATGGTCGAATTACTTTCTGTTCAATCTGGTTCGGTTGGGTTGGGTTCGGTTCGGTTTTCGGTTCGGTTCGGTTCGGTTCGGTTCGGTTCGGTTCGGTTCGGTTCGGTTCGGTTCGGTTCGGTTCGGTACGGTACGGTACGGTACGGTACGGTACGGTACGGTACGGTACGGTACGGTACGGTACGGTTGGGTTCGGTTGGGTTCGGTTGGGTTCGGTTGGGTTCGGTTGGGTTCGGTTGGGTTCGGTTGGGTTCGGTTGGGTTCGGGGCATCGTGTACTTACCCACATGTGGTGTGTTAAATTGGGACAGCGATACATTGTTTGACTCATTTATTTCCTCCTGATGCTTCATTAGATGGTTCACTATGTAGCATTATGTTCACATGTTTTGGCATAACATTAAATTGCGCCCTAGATCGCGAAGTACTATCACGCTTTGGCAGCCCAGTTTCGCACCGGCCACCCGACTTCACGAAGGACCGGTGCTCCGCCCAGTCATGGCATAGTACGTGGCATCAGGCTAGCACAGCTTACTGATGTTGTACCATAATCATTGTGCAACATTTTAGAATAAATAACACTGTATGGTTCAAAGCACAGTGAAACCACTGCCCATCACAAATCATAAATATCATAATGATGACCACATCAAATGAAATGATGATCATGCAATGGTTTGTCATATCCTTTCAGCTGCCATGCCATACATGATAAAAATATCAAAAATATAATAGTGTGAAGATGATCAGTTAAAGGCAGTGTCCAATATCTGGGGTGTGCTTAAAAAATGTTCTAGTGCAACCTAGCAATCAGTTATGTCTAATAACAGCACTGGGTAGTGCCACTGCAGCATTGCCAAGACATAATAAGGACATCAGTTCTAATAACTTTTATTCCAAATTATGCTTTCATGGCTTTGAAAACAGCACCATGCTTCTTCCCTGCAGTTGCTGATCATTGTTTGCATGACAACCACCATGTGCACCTCCTCAAATAAAAGAATATTTGTGATTGGTGCAGAGGGTGGCAAGAGACTGTTAGTGAAAAGCACACTGGTTGAAGTTTGAACCCATGCATCACAAAGGACCATGATATACTCCTATTTCAAAAGCCAAAATGTGCCTTGAAAGGGCCAGTGTGGTAAATGTTATAAGACAGAAATCAAAGCCATAGTATAATGCTTCATTGAATTTGCAGCATATTTCCTGCTTGCAATTTGCTTCCTGTTTGCATATATTTCTTTCCAAACAGCAGATTTCAACCTATCATGGCAGTTATTACACAAACATTTCACACATTAATGTGTTGCAAAGATCATGGAAAACACACATTGGAAAAGTAAGCCAAATTAAATGTATTTCTTTCCTGGCAGTAAGTAGGGAATTAATAAGATTTTTCTCACACAAGTGGCCACTCCAAATTTAAATCATGGGCTATTTAGAAGGACTTTGAGAAACTGGCACAGCTGATAAAATTGATGTGTCTGATCTAACAATGCATGTAACAAGTGAAAAGTACAAAAAGGTGGGATATTCCCTTTAACAATGTGCTATCCCATGGCACCCATTACAATATCTTAAGACAAAAACTTTAAGCCTCACAGACAGAAGTTTTCTCTGATATATGTGCAATCCACAGCAGTGTTTACTCTGCAAACAGCTGCATCAAAAACACAACAAAACAATGTTATCTACCATTTAATCAACAGCTGCACACTATGGTTATGGGCTATTAATGTCCATATACTTCCATGGTTTTAAGCTGTCCACTCCAATGACAGAAGAAAAAAGGGAGAAAATAATGGACAAGGAAGTAATCATCCAAGTTGCATTAGATGTGTTCATAACTTTCAAAAATAGTATATTCCAGCACCAAAGCTATCAAAGTTTGTTGTGCAGAAGGAAATGCAATAGTCATGGGTGCTTTCATGACCTCACTCCTCACATTTTGTCTATATTTATGGACAAGGATAGGAACTGTATTTCCTGCTCAACAAATATATATCATGTGCTGTGCACCTCCATACAAAGTTATATGGATTAAGTATTATGATATATAGTCTAAAGATGTCTTGAGTATTTTCCATCAAAATGTAGTTAGTATCTTAACTCCATCCTAAATAAAAACACCAAAAGCACACTAATAACACCACAATAGCTCACAGATACAATGCCAGGACTTACCAAAAAAAAAATGTCACTTTTTACATACTCAACTGCTCTAACAGAATAAGGCCAGCCATTCAAATTTTTTCAGCAAACAAAATCAGAATTAAGCCACCAATATACAACATTTTTTAAAGCAAACACAATAAGTATAAAATCAATAAAATGATGTTAAGGGCATGTTGCACATTAGTAAAGCCCTACCAGCATCTACATGTCATGGGGTTGAAAAAGGACTGGTTGTTAGTCGGGCAACAGAGGAGTTTGATATGACATTTACATGATTGCAGACCAAGGGTCTGGCCCAGTTATTCCCAGCAGTCAAGTTGACGTTGGTGGAGAGGTAACAATGGTATTCTACTGGAATAATTTTGGAGGAGTTATCAGCTGTCCGCACACAATTTAACCAAACGGTTTTGATACAATGACAGGAAATTTTGGATCAGGCATCAGTTGTCTGGCTGCATGCAATTTCACAAGCAGCCTTGCCACCATGAAGGACAATAAATTTGAGTTGTGGTTACTAAATAATATAGTGACAATAATAAATATATAAAATAAGAACAAATATACCAATATGAAACTTTAAAAAATGACTGAATGTAATCAAAAGGACAATCATATAACAATGGAAATAAACATACACCAGTCCTAATATGCTGCCAAGTGACAGCAACTCATCTATCCATCTCCAAACCTGAAAAACCACCTTCAATTTTGGAGGACTTGGAGAGGGTTAGCAGCAAGCTATGACAACCTCAGAGAAGAATGGAGTAGCAATGGGAACAATCATATCAGTTTGGAGCAGCTACAAGGTACTAGGACCAATGGGAGCATGTCCTGGATTCCAAGGCACAGATGATGTGGGGAGGTGAGCAGAACCCTCTTAAACTTTTATCCCAAGATCATAATAGCATTTTTAATGAAGAAAATATAAGGTGCTTGCCATCAGTAAGTTGGTTTGGTGTCCTCATTACTGATTTCCTTTCCTATCTGAATTGCTCCTCAACAAATGTATTTGTGTCATATGCATGCACTGCCAGCACAACCACTGCAAAAAAACTATGGCATTACTGTCACTTGGTCTAACCACGAGAAAGGTTCTGGCATCGTGTGGTATATTGGTGAAATGCAACACCACAGCAAAACAACATAATGAATGCTAGAATATCAGAAACTAATTTTTATTAGAACTAACTTGCAAGAATAAAACTCAATTACAACCACAAGACTGCAAATAGCAAATCACACACTTAAATCTACTTGTACACCGATGAAAGTACAATAGTACGTTTATGGCGCACACGGGCATAAAATGACAAGTGTACATCAGCGTTCCTTACCAAGTGGCCCCTGTTTTCAAAGGTGTTTGTGAAAGCTTAAAAATGACATTTTTCTGCTCTTGCAGAGATGGCAAGGCAGTTCCTCCTTCAGCCATCGCCAAACTTGAGGAACAGACGACCATCTGCAGCTACTGCTCGATCGCGCCCAACAGTCCCGCTTCCCCCACGTAGCTTCCGTTGCGCTGTCAGCCGCTACAGTGCGATCCAGCATGAGTTGAATAAGTTGATTCAAGCTTGACCATATTGGGTAGAAAGTCGCAGCCAGAGGACTTAAAACGCTGCCAAACCTAAACCTGCGCACACGTTTAACTGATATTCAGCAAAGACACAGCTGGAATCCACGGCCAAGTAGACGTCATTTAACCAAATGCTAGAGCAAGCGTTTCTGAATGCTAAAATCAACAGCTTCCTATAGGTTATGCGATATTGCAATACGCGAGCACCGCTATACCCTTAGGAGATGATCGATGAGCAAGAGGCGGGTCGTCAATTCGATAGCTAGCCGATCATCAAGGGCGACACCACGAATTTTTCGTTGCAGTGTATTATCTTGTATTGTGTTGCATTACTTTAAACCTATAATCCATTCTCGCGGCGCAGGATTTCAGGATTAGCGTCATCATGTACAAGGTATGAAATAAAAGGTATAAGATCAAGGCAAACATGCATTAGCATAAAAAGTGACATTACCTGTAGGAGCAACATACAACTACGTACACAACGCGAGGAAATTTATTACCCAGTGCAGCATTTGTGAATAGTCAATGCAGACAACCACGAAGCAAGATGCTCTCAGGCCCTCAGTGCATTCAGCGACGCACGAAAGCAGGGCTGCGTTGGACGCTCAGTGCCGGCCGGGAGTCGATCGAATAAAATGGATTCCTAGATCGGCCATATTCATCGTACTGGCAGCTGGTAGCCGTATACCAGCATTGTGGAGTGCACACAGTTGCAATCTCCGCTCGCAAACAAAAGTATTTTTCCCGGGCCGCCGCTTTCTAGCTATCACGCTACGGGCAAGCTTGGTTAACCAGCCATGCACCATCAAGCGGTGACTACAAAAATGTCTATGTCCGCGAAGAATGATTTATGTTGCTGGCCGATAGTGCTTCCGCATTGACGACGTTTGCACGTGGATGCACACAAAGTAAAGTATCTCAAATTCGACGTCGTAACTTTGCAAACACGGCTGTGGCCCGCTATTGAACTAGACAACGTTGAGGAGACACTGTCGGGAGCAACCAAATGAAATTAATGCCTTAAAGGAAGTGCTCCACATTTGAATTGGGTGTCTTGGACTAAAATAGCCATCTTGAAGGCCATTCGGTGTAATTCGCAGCCCTGCCCTTCTCCGCCCCCCCCCCCCCCCCTCGAACATTTCCTTCGTTGGCGCGGAATCCCCTGCCAGTACAGGACCACCGCTTGGCACTTTAGTCCCTAAGCGACATAGAGGGCCGCTTATTGACTGAGGGCACGACCGATGTCAGTTGCGTGCCCCTGTCTTGTCTATACTTGGAAAATGGGCCCTCAGGCCCAGACCGACACAGAGCCTTCTGCTCGATACTGCTGGTACCTTGCCGACACAGGGGCTCTCATCGATTCAGAGGGGTCTCAATCAGCGCAAAAGACCCTCTGACTGGCATTTCAGGGTCGGTCCCATAATGCGACTAGAGCCTTCGAACTTCCAAAGTAGGTCCCTAATCACTGGTTCCGAGTGGCCGGAAATCCCCTCGGGATAAAACGGGGGGGGGGAGGGTAGGTGCCCGCTGTACGCCCCTCCCTTGCCTGCGTCACTGTTTCTCTATTTAAACAGGATGACATGGACAGCTGTGGCCAGACCAATACGTGTGCTTTACTCTGCACTGTGCTTGAGTCAAGTCAAGATGTGCTTGAATTTTGGGAGAAAATGTGTGAGCTGAATATACGGGGCACTAATTTAGGCTTGGGCATTCATATCTGGAAATTGTTTTAATTTGTGGAAGTTGACACTGGTCAGTTTGATCAAGGAAGTCAGTTTGATGCGACGTACCTTGCATTTTTGGCAGCTTTTGATGAGATCGTTCAAAAATACTCTTTACGTTGAGGCAAATTTCTACGTTGTGACTTTCAGGACAACATCCTTAGAAAAAGAATGACAGGAGCCAGAAATTTTCATACTGACACAAGATGGGTAATCAAACGATTTGCTGTCTCTATCTAAACTAACGTATATCTCTTTCTGGCTTCAGCCCTGTCGGTAGGAGCAAAATTTGCCGGGAGACGTTAATGTCGTCATGCAAAAATTTACATCTTACTTGAGTTCGTATAGACAAGAGGATTCAAAAACTTCATTTCTCACCTGGTCGGAAAAAGTACCCAAATTCCGAATTTCCAAATAACATTCGCGCTCTGACATGCACCGTCCCAAACGCAGAGACATATTATCACTACTCGTAAAGCGTTCTCGCCACACGAATTCCGGCGGCTCAAACTGAATAACACACCACTACTGTCATACAAAGCAGCTGTGTTTCTGCGGCCTCGCTTGTCAGAGTGCGTATGTATTTCTTAGCCTTGTGCGATCACGCTATGACAGTGATACTAAACGCATCCGGTCACCCGCAAACTATGAGAATAATCACCTTCAAACGCCATTGTATTTTGCCCGCTACGCGATGGCATGTCACCAATGTACAACTTAAGCAATTACAATGTGAGTAATTTCCAAGTGAATGATTCATTTCAAGCAAAATAACCACCATCTGCACTTTACGTTTGGGCGTCGTTCAATTGCAGTATACCTGGGTGATCCTGTACGCTCTGTTTCATTCACTCTTAATGCTATTTTTCGCTTTCATTAGATCAAATTTTATCGCTGGCGTACTTTATAATGCACCACACGACAACATGCCACCAGGATTGAATAAAATATGATTGGGTCGTATTGCGTGGATGGACATCGGCAGCTCCCCACCCCCACCCTCCACTCCCGTCCCCCCCCGCCCCATTTTCGGGTATCGTCTAATCGCACTAAAGCTGTGGAATCAAGTGCTATTGCAAGACTCGCAAGGAATGATTGCAGCTTTCATCTTATGAAAAATGGTTAAATAATCACAGGGTCATATGAGACAAAGACGTGCCGGTAGCAGGGTCCAGCTTTTGTGAAAAATTATATCGTTCTGAAATGGTGCTATCAAACAGCTTACTGCAACCATCACCGTTACAAATGAAGAGATCGATTATAACTTGTTGCGTAAGTTGTTGAAGAAATTTGCGAGGAGCATCATGCGCACATACAAGATAGTGCTAATAGCCTTATCCCCGTAGAAAGACCGGAAGAATGAAGAGACAAATGGATTGATATTTCGGCCGCATGCTTTTATCGAAACGAATATCAGAAGCATAGTAACGAATATCAGTAGTATTAGTGACGAATATCGGTACTTACTGATATTCGTTTGACAAAGGCATGCAGCTGAAGTATCCATCCGTCTATCTTTCCATTCTTCTGGTTATTCTACGGGGAATAAGGCAATAAATACTGTCTTGTCCATACAGATGTCTTTTTACCGGCATCGCGCTTGGCATGTCAAGGTTCGACACACCACACGGATGTAACAGTACACCTTGAATTAATCATAATCCAACACCTAAACGCCACCAGCTGTGTCCGTTGTTTTTTGTGAGTGTGTCCTGCTTTTACACTAAAGCACTGCTATCAAACACGCTCGATCCCACTCGTAGAGATCTATTTACTCTGCTAACGCCATCGTACTTTCTCCCCCACGCAAGACCAGGCGACCTGACCTTAAATAATACGAGGTAAAGGAGTCATTTAACGTAATAGACGCCTGAACTTCGGTTGATTTTTGGTCATCGTCTCACAGAATTATCTGGTGCTCTCAAATTCACATCTATTCTATAACGAGCGTGTTTCAACGTCACATCTACTCTATAAACTCTTTGATTCTTCCTTACCTAAATTACTGCTGCTTGGTTTGGGGCATAAATTATGCTTCTCAACTAGATCGATTGGTAATTTTGCAAAAAAATGGCTGTGCGTCTTATAGAAAATGTGTATCCTCCGCAAAGCTCAGAGCCAATCTTTAAACGATACAAAATTTTGAAACTATCGGATATTGCTAAATCTCAAATGCTAATTGTGATGCACACATTTTTGACTTCACAGCTCCCTGCATCATTCGATTTAATTTACAATCTCTACGAATCCAATGGCATGGATATGAGGCGAGCAAAACATTTAGAACAACCTTTCTCTTATCGTAATTTTAGACTATTTACAGCATCCTGTCTTGTCCCCAAGCTGTGGAACGACATTATGGTTTCATATTTTCCAAGAATAGCTGATATCCCTGTATCGAAAACCATCGTTAAGAACATCATCCGCAAGCATTCGTGAACACATATTAACGTAACAAACATATTTGAAGATATTGCCATCCTTGTGTTGTACATATCCAACGCACTTCATATTTGACCTCCTTCATGTTTCATAATCAATTTCTGATATAAAGTCATGCACATATACCCAAATTCATGCCGCTGGCTCCGGGAGTTCTCCCAGCAACAAGCTCTGCTTAGCTGGGCGGACTCCCTGGAAATCCAGCTCAAAACCCAGCACAAAAATGACCAGGTATTTGCCCCCCCCCCCCCCGACTTGTGACTGTATAGCCCTTACTAACACGGGGAATTGAGTGGTTGTAGATTATTGGGCGGTTGTAGCGGGCTGTCATTGGCTGATTTTGGCTAATGACTACTTTAAGCCTTTTCATCTATGATTTTTCCCTACCTCTCACATAAAAAAATCTGTTGAACATAGTCACAGCGTTCGCATCTAACTATCTTTAAAGCACTGCCGTACATTGCGCACCACTAGCCGCCAACCTGGCTGCATTGAAGGAGGTCAGCCGGGTGGATAACGGGGTCATGTCAAGTTAGCATGCCGGGGCGACCGGGCCCGGCTTTTGGGTGTTTTGCAAAGACGCTTTATCAGTCCTTCATGTACACTCGGCTCCACGTATAGAGATTAATTTCAACTATTTTTTAACGCAGTCTTGAAAACGCGACAACGGCCCACGAACGTTTCAATAATGCAATTTGTTGGGGTCATTTTAGGAGAAAAGAG